CTCTTATTTGATATTTATCTTATAGGTTATTGAAACATCCAATAATAATATATGAGCAATGCAAGTATTAATATGTTATGGTCGACCAAGAAAGTACGATTAACATCATTTAACCAATTTTTTTAAAAAATTATCGAGCACTCCAATTTCTAAAAGCAATATTTTTTGATTACGAATATTACATGATAAGTTTTGGCTATAAATATGAATGCATTAAAGCTGCAAGACTAAACATATATTTTTCATTTAATACATTTTTCATCACATTCATTTTTCATCACATTCATTTTTTAAAATTATATTCAGGTGTGGAACAAGTGAAAAATATTAAATTTTCTCTTTCTTAAGGAAGATAAGATAATATATATTTATGCTATAAATAACACTGTTGGTACGCGTAGTCTAAATTTTCCTAAGAATAAGGGAACTTTTTGGCGCGGAGGGAGGTGGAGTAGAGCGGAGCGCTTTTTGCAAGGGCGGTTAAATTTTAAAACTCATTTTAGGGAGAGGGGGCGGGAGGATTATAGAATCAGAATTTTATTTGCTTAAAATAAAATTTACGAAAACTTGAGTATTTGTAAGAATAGTGTTGTTAAACGGCCCTCCATTTACCAAATCTTGAGACTTGATAACATTATTTTCAACACTAACCGAGAACTCAACTTTTCTCAACTAGCCTATAGATTTATTTAAATGGTCAAACAAATTTATAAATCATATGCAAAATTTTCTTTAACTAACTTAATGCACTAAAAGCTAAAATAAATTATGAATTTATAAGATTAATTTTTATAAATTTATGTTTGTATAGTATTTATATCTGTTAAAATCTAAAATATACTTAATACACTTTCTGCTGTAAATGGAATAGAAATAGAAATAACCTCACATTTTTTTTATACATTGATATTTTTTAGTACATCTGAGGACTTTCTATTTTTTTGATTCCTTGACAAGACTTATAGTATAAGAAAATCCTTTTTAAGTTATATAGATTATACATTTTGATTTGTGATTTTATTATAAATTATTTTTTTTATATATTTAATTCGTTTAGTAATGTTATAATTCAACACGATTTGTGTTAAAATATAAAATTATTTGTTGTCAATCGCATCTGGATAACATCAAAGCCTGAATCTTTTCCTTTTAATTAATAAATACGATTTTAAAATAATTTTTAAAATATATTATAAACATTTATATAAACATAGGCAAGATAGATTTTCATAGAGAAATTTTTTAGGTGGGGAGAGGAGATCTGTCTCCCATACTTTCTCCCAATTTCGACCTGATTACATTTATAATTTTTAAATATTATATTTTTACACATCATTGTATGGATATCGAATGTAAAGAGGAAATGAAGATTAGAACGCAAAAAGCCAAAAGAGCGTTCTATATGTACATGAAAATCTGGAAGTCTAAGGAAATATCGGTTTTTATGAGGTTGAGGCTATTCAACTCTACTGTTATCCCCATTTTATTATATGGAAGTGACATATGGGAAGTTAACAAGACTGACTTAAGACGTATTCAATCCTTTATTAATAATTGTCTGAGAACTATAAATGGTATTTTTTATCCCAGAGTCATCTCTAACTCTAATCTCTGGAGGAAATCTAGCCACACTCCGATAAATATTACGTTAAAAAAACGTCTTATACAGTTCCTAGCCCATATAATAAGAAATTCAGATCACAACCTTGCACATGATGCTATCGTTTGGTTATATACACATAAAGGGAAACAGTATACTAAATATAAATCGTTATGGTATTACAAAGCTATAAAAGACGTGATGGAGATGTAAACATGAAACAATTTATAAAGGTTAATAATTGCAAAAGGTCTATCAGAAAACTCTTTCAAGATAGATATTTCAGATGAAATTTGTTCCTAGGGATCTCTAGTTCACATACCTTTTTCTTACTTTTCTTCCTCGATTTCTCTTGTGGATTTATTCCTCTCGAAAGTATTTTTCTTTTTTACCTCTAAAATAAATAAACTTACAGTAAAGCTTTTCAAGTTAAATTATCCACCTCCCACCTTTAAAGTAATTAATTTTAAAAGCAGTTCTTGGGTATAGGCTATTTTTTGGTCCCGCTTTTTTCCTCTAAGCCTATAGACGTTTTAATAACATTTCTTAGAAATGTTATGCGTACAAATACGTGCGGCTTGCCCACAAACGTGTGGAGGGCTCCTCATATTTTTTTCTCCCCCAAATTAATAAATTCCAATTAGATGGAAATGAGGAAAACCTAGCGTTGCTCTGTTGTATTTTCAACGTTAGAGGGCGAATGCGCTATATATCACGTATTTTTAATTTTTTTAAAATAGAAACCTGAACCGTTATCTATAACTATTTCGGTTCCTGTTAGTAGGAGGGGGGGGGATTATTGGGAAAGATTATAAATTAACAAATTTTTGTTAAATGAAAATATAGAATATCAACTTACATATTTATTTGATAAGAGATAAAACAAACGGATTAATTTATATTTTATTTGCAATATAAAATTGAAATGTTAAAAACAAATCAATGCTAGAAAAAATAATATCAATTAAAATTTTATTATCTTTTTAAATGTTATAAAACAAATAAGGGCTAAGGCTATATGACGTTAGTCCACTTGCTAAACAACGACCAAAATTTATCAAAATGCAATCTTAATTTTTTAATATATATTAACTGAATCCCATTAGGTCCAATTTACTATATATCTTCCACCCAATGAGGAAACCACCTAGTTGGCTTAGAAAAAACATGATCCTTACTGAATTTAAACGCATAACTATCGAATTGTGATACACGCACTGAACCAACTTGACCACAGACTTTACTCGAAAGTATCTATTTTTTCGTATATAAGGATAAAATTACAGCACTATCTTAAAAAAACAATAAAGATTAAGGCTCTACTTCATAACTCACTAACAACTAATCACTACAATTAAAAGAAATGAAGGAGTATACAATAATAATTAATTTAAAATTTTTTCTAAAAATAATAAAACACTTTAGAGAAAGTGTTACTTCAAATATAGGGTCTTATATTATAACAATTTATAAATATGTTGGCAGGCGTATGTAGCAGGAGGAGGGTGTATCCATAGTATCGATGATATTTTTAGAATTTTATATTGTCGCTGTAACTCGATACATTTTATATATCATCCATACTTTTTATTTTAAATGATATCATTGTTAATCTATTTTTCCATATTAAAAAAAAATAAAAAAATCTAAATTGTTTATTTGATTAAATTTAATTAACTAATCCTAATTATTTTATTATCATATATCTCACATTAGATTTCACTAATTTTTAATACAAAATTAGAAATAAAAATATATAATTTTCATATAAATTATTACAACTTTTAAATAAAATGTTATTTAAATTATGTACTATTCTAATTAAATGAATTAATCCGTGTTATTTTACACTTTATCTTTACCTAAATAAATAAAATTAAAAATTATTACTTGATGGACTAATTTAAGAATAAAGCAAAACCATGATAATTTTTTTTAGCACCAAATATTAAAATTTTGGCATTTTTACTAATCTTCCTAATATTAAGTAATTTATTAAATACAACTCTAATCTTCCAGTTCACCATTTGAACGATTATTCAATGTCGCTAAAGATTTTTTTTATTGATAAAGAGATGTCTTCGTTACAAAACTTTGAAAATGTTTATTGATAAAATCAAATAAAATTATTTTGTTTTTATATAATATGTATTACTAATTTTATATAGAAGTATTCAGTATTTGTTAATATTTCCAAAATAATATGAAAAATGTATCGAAAATTATCGATGATTTTATGTATCATATTAAATTTGGGGAAATGTTTTTGTATCGGTATCGGTGGACCCGTTTAAAATTTGTATAGATGTCGTTAGTGTCGATTCATCTTAAACGTTAACAATTCTTGAAAAATTTAAGCAGTTAGTTACATGTTCTAAATAACGTAACCGTTGACTTCTTTTTTTTTGTTGGGATATGATAATTAACTATTATGATTTTTTGAGTAACAATAACAACCTTTAATATTTTCACCTGACATGCCCAGCCATGATTGGCATAATTTAAGGGGAGGGGAAAAATTTCATTCTTCGCGAATTTGTTAGTTTTAGTAAATATTATTTTAAGCTAATGAAAATTTCTCCTCTAACACTGCCACATTTTCTCTTCCTATAAAAATGAATACAATATGTCATTATATATAAACAATCATTTTTGTAAAGATAAATAAAATTCAAACTTTTTTAAAAAAGTGAACCAAATAAAAGAAAATTCCCCATAAAAAACAATTTTAATTAAATAAAATTAGAATTATTTCATTAGAATATTGAACTATCTTGAATTTATTTTTTTATTTCAAAGTTTATTCAATTGTATTTACAAGTTTATATACACCTTCTCTCACAACGAATTAATCCAAGGTTGCATACATTATTGAGACTAAACTACGTAAATCAGTCATAGCCTCATTTGAATATTAAGAGAATATATTATTAAATCAAATATGTACAAATTATATAATAAATATATTAAGATATTACAAATAACTCTTAAATTATCAGTTCTCTTTAAATAACTAAATGCAACAAATACAAGTCTAATTTGTATGGTATAAACAAAATTCTATTTTATGTGATAAAAAGTAATTTATCACAGTTTATAATATAAATTGTAAAAGTAATTCTTACCTGTTAGAATATAGAGGAGGAGTATATATAAAAAAAAGATCTACTAATGTTAAGCAATCTTAAAGTAAAAATTAATGGGTGTTATAAATACCAACTGCAACGATTAAAAACGAAAAACCTAAATATTATAGATGTAGATAGATGAAATCAAATGTTCAATAAATTGACCACAGTTTTTGGCTCTTAAATATCTAACATATCTTTAATTTTGCCAAATCATCTTTGATTCTTTTTTTTAAATATATTATATAAAAAAAAATTGTATTAATGAAAAGATTTTATTGGGACGTGTTCATGCTTTTACTCCTTGCTGCGAATCTCATAATTCTTCCAGTCACCATAACATTCTTCAATAATGACCTCAGTATTTATTGGCTAGTATTCAATTGCTTCTCTGACACCATGTTCCTACTCGATATTGTCGTTAACTTCCGAACTGGTACTTTTCTAATTTGTCTCCCCTCCCCCAGGCATACGTGATTCTATTTTTAAACCACTTGGATTAGGAATTACATCTCTATTTATTAATATCCGGACATGATTTGGGAAAAAATATTTTGAATAATTTTATTTTAAAAAAGTTTCAATTTAAAAATAAAATACAATTCAATATAAAAAAACAAAGATATTTTAAAATAATTTCACAATGAAATTTGATTATTTAAGGCCACATGAAAGAACCCGTCTAATTCAAAATGAAATTTTATTAGAAATTTTTAACAACATGAATTCATTTTTCATATTTGGCCTATCTTTCGTTTTTATTTATTGCGACTTATTTAAGATTATTAAATATTTATCAGAGACCTGTAGAGGTACCATTTGCAAGGCCTTAAAAAAAATCGCCCGGCCCTGCCCTCATTTTATATTTCCAGATTCGACCTGCCCGGATTTTTTTTAAAAACAATTTTCAAGCCTATTTTTAATTATTTTTAAAATGAGATAATTTGCAGGTCTCTGATATATATATATATAAACTACACCACATTATGTCATTAATTTAACCTCTGGCTGTTTATATATATTTAAATTTATATTAACATCTTTTTATTGTTTAATTTTAGGAATTATGCCGGCGGACAAAACAGAACACATTATACTAGATCCGAAGATAATAGCCAAGCATTACATAAAATCTTGGTTCATTTTGGATTTTGTGAGTTCTTTTCCTTTCGACTATTTTTTACTCATCTTCAGCCCCGGCCTGGTACAAAGGGATGGACAAAAATTTCAAATGATTCAAGCGGGTAGAGCTCTAAGAATTTTGAGGCTAGCTAAATTGTTAAGTCTATTGCGACTTTTAAGGGTATCGAGATTAGTTCGTTACGTTAATCAATGGGAGGAAGTTTACGTAATATTTTTTTTACAATTATTCTTTTTTTAACATTCATATTTGCACATAAATTACCTACTAAAATTGCGAATTGAGTAATCAAGTGTTGTATTTCATATAGCATTTTCATTAGATTATTAAAAAAAAACACCTTGATAAGTTATGCAGCAAACTGAAATTTCATTATTTTTAAACCTTTTCAGGAGTTGATTTCTTTAGACAATTTTATAATTGGGGCACAAAATGATTAGATAGCATAATTTTTTTTTCAATTTAGCCAATTTTATCCATTAAAGTTTTTTTATAGCTCAACAGGGTATGCCATAATATTCAACTTAATATAATGAGAAATTTATGTGGAATTCTAAAAAAATATTAAATGTAATGATTAAACAATAAATGGTTGAATTTGTTTCTCAATTAATTTATGCAATTTGACTTATAGAAATACTATATTATTATGAATCATATATCATATTAAAATTGATTTCGAAAATAAGATTTATAAAAATGTCGCATGATTATAGTGTTGGTAATAGAGCGATTTAAAGAAAAATGGCATGTCACAATATAACTTAGACTGCTCACTTTGTTATTGATTAGTTTAAGAACATTATGACAAAAAAGTGTCTTCCATCTTTGATTATGTACAATAGTAATGTATTATAATATTTTTTAACAGGGAATTTAAATGAAACATAGAGTTATTACGATTTCGTCAATATTTATATCGATGATTTAATTACGAAAATTTAATAACAAAAAAAAAATGAAATCGCACTACCTAATAAGAAATGTATTATCGTTTATTAAATATTAATAAAAAAAATTCGATGTTATATTAATTATTAAGCACACTAAATAAAGGATGATTAAATTGAAATAAGAAATATTATCCCTATTTGAAACTTTAGACTACTAGGTTCATAGGCATATAATTGTGCAATCAAAAAGATGAGAGGGCGTTAAGTATTATTTTTTAATGATATTATTTAGAATCCAAAGACCTGCAGAAGTTAAAATTTTTGGGGCTAGCACGGATCTGAAAACCGGTTCGGGACTATTTTGTAAAATTTACTTGCCCGGCTAGGTTTTTTTATTTTTGATCATTTTACGTCTCACGTTATTTCGAAGAATTTTGACTATTATTTTGCAAATTGTTTCAAAGGGAAATAATATGAGTATAATAAATGAATATCAATTTCTAACATTTTCCAACTGATTAATTAATATAATTTAAATTTATTTTTCTAAATTGGCAAGCTTAGATTTTTATAATATAAGGACCGGATTGGGTTCCGGGTCGATCCAGCAGTCGGGTCTGCAGGTCTCTGATTTAAACAATTTGGATTTAATTTTCTTTTATCAGACAAAACATTTTATTCAGTAGTTAATTGTAACATAAATAACCAATAAATGCTACAATTATTATTTTTTTTAAAAATTATTTTATATGCGAAATGCATTTTAAAAATAGGATTTCGAGAAGAATCAATATTAAAAAAAATGCATATGTAAAATTACAAGATGTGCATGTAATTCGTGAATCGAAATTGTATTCAGTTGGCTTATTTTCATTACAATCAAACTCTCCAGAACCACCAACCTAGTATGTTATAAAAAAATTCTGCCGAGAGTTTTTAAAAACTACACCCCGATTAAATATTTTATGGTAATTGCAAATAGGTCTATTCACCACAAAAGAGGGGCTGGCCCAATTCTCATGGAATATAGATATTCCCTTGTTTATGTATGCGGAATAATATCTTTTTTGAACTACAGATGAATAATTTAAAAAAGGAACATTATTTAAATTAACTTTGTAGTTTAAATTTAATTTTAAAAAATAAAAATTGCATATTTATTAATTTAGTTCCTAAATTTAGCCACCGTGTTTATCCGCATATTTAATCTCGTTAGTATAATGCTTTTAGTCGGACATTGGAGCGGGTGTCTACAATTCTTGGTTCCACAAATGCAAAATTTTCCTCATGATTGTTGGATTGTTATCGCCAACATAGAAGTAATATAATAAATTTCTTATAATTTTCTTTAAGATTTATAAAGAATATCATTGATATTCTTCACTTAGCAAACTGATATTTAATTTTTTAAATAACGCTTTTCCCTGAGTCTACTCTAAACTTTTTTAAAATAAAGCCCGAAATTGTAAACTCTTTCGATTTTAGAAGGGATAGGCTAATAAATATTTTACTCATATTATCATTGTTCATTCATGTTTAATTATTACAGTTTTCTACCGTTATATCTATTTTAAAATAAAATCTATTTGCATGAATTACTTATAGATGGGGTTTTTCAAAATACAATTTCTATCCCTAACTTTTGGAAACCTATCTTGAGTTTATATTTATATATTTTTTAGAAATTTTTAATGATAAAAATTTTATGTGTTATATTTTTTTAAATCTGAAACTTAAAAAGAATTGCCACTTGAATAATTTAGGAATGTTTGATGTTTTACTATATTTAGCATTAACAACTAAATGCATATCACATGTTTATATAATTATATTTTTGATATCATCTAAAAATGCATATTCAAATAATTACAATATGCTAGAACTCAGACTGGTTCGAACAATACTCATGGTCATTCTTCAAAGCTATGTCTCACATGCTCTCTATAGGTTATGGCCGTTTTCCGCCTCAGAATTTGACGGATATGTGGTTAACCATTTTCAGTATGGTATCTGGTGCTACTTGTTACGCCTTATTTATAGGGCACGCTACCAATCTCATCCAATCCTTAGAATCCGCCAATAGACAATATAGAGAATTGGTGACAGAATATAACTCTTTTATTCTTCCTTTTTTTTGTAATATGTTTTAGGATATAAGACTTTCTTCAACTAATATTGTTTATTGTTAGTTTTCATGAAAAAAAAACAAAGGTATGCATGCTGATAAGGAAATAATTAAAAAGTGTTAATAAGTTAGGTATGAGATTTCTATTTTTTTTATTACTATTACAATTTTTACGGAAAATATAATTTACCAATTAGATTTTTCAATATCGCAATATCTTAAATATAATTTTGTTGGAAATTCATTGTCACAATCATTTTATAACTCGCAAATATTGTTATATTTGAGTTTATTAAAATAATTATATTTTTATTAATAAATTATTAATTTTTGAGTTTCAAAATTTTATTAAAATAATTTAAATTGTAAGCATGTTTTTAGGGTATTTTTGGCCTTTTTTACTTTATTTTACGTCTAGATTTTTCTCAACTAATTTATTGTCAGTTTTCATGATAAAAATAAAAGTACTATGGTAAATGTATAATTAGATATGATACGTACATAAGATAACCTTTAATGATTTATTTTATTCTGCGAAGATTTTAAAATCTCTAAAAATATTCATAAAAAATTGTTTTCATAAAAACTTACCAGATGAAACAAGTTGACGAGTATATGGCTTACAGAAAGTTACCCAGAACCCTTAGAATGAAGATTCAGGATTATTTTGAGCATAAATATCATGGAAAAATGTTTAATGAAAATATAATTTTACGAGAACTATCGGACACTTTGAGACAAGTTAACATCATTATTATTTAAAATTCACTTTGGAATTATATTACTATAGGGAAATTAAATGTTTTAATATTTTTAGATTATAATCATTTTGTGTAATTCAGTAATACCGCATGAGATAAGTAATTATGGATATATTTTCAATATAATGATATCTTTTTTTCTACACATCTCCTCTCCCCCTTCTAAAAATTAACAGGCCGTTATTAACTATAATTGTCGGGATTTGGTAGCATCTGTGCCGTTTTTCGCGAATGCCGACAATAATTTCGTGAACGCCATCGTTTGTAATTTGGACTACGAAGTTTTTCAACCGGGAGATGTTATCATAAATGAAGGTGCAATAGGCGATAAAATGTATTTCATACAAGAAGGAGTGGTAGATGTTATATCTGGCAACGAAGTCAAGACATCCCTCTCCGAAGGATCATATTTTGGAGGTTCCTTTTAATAAATTATGTGCAACACCACTGTTTAAATTTTTTTTTGATAGGAGGGATTATTCATTACTTTTTAGTATCAATTTAATTGCATTGAAATTTTACCCAAATGAATTTAGTTTCAGTAAATGCCGTCAACGTCAATTTCTTTCATTTTTGCCTTTTGTCAATAGATTTAGACTATTTATGGTTACGATGTAAAAGAATTAATATATCGATAAAAACCAATGTAGAGGCAGTTAGATGGTTACCTTAACTGCTTTTACTTCCATAGGCATAGTGAGTGTTAGGAGGAAATTTATCATAAGGTCTAAATATTTACTTTGAAATATTTCTTAAAAATTAAAATAATAATTTTTTTTATTACTTATAATTAAATCATGATAATTTATAAATTATTTATTTTAGGGGATTGGAGAGTGGAAGGTGGGGGGGGGCTAAGGAGTAAACTTTTATTTGTTAAATCTTTACTACATGATTTCCTTTTTTAGTCTAAAAATATTTTTAAGGGCAACCTGACTAGTATATAAAAAAATTATAAAAAAAGGTTCATTTTTATTGATTATATTGGCCTAATACATGTCACGCATGAATATGAATTATGTTACAATATTTTACAATAAAATGATTGAATATATTATAAATTGGTATAAAATAGTAAGATATCTTTTTATTGGAATGGAAACAATGGGTAATTAATATTTTTAGCATTTCACTTTTGTAGTTTACCTTTATAGAGTGTATTTTTGCATTTTTGCCACATTTTCACCGATTCATACAAATATTCTGCGAACATCGAAAAATGTAGAGGTGATAGCTCATACTAGATCTTCTTAAATCCGCTGCGTTTTCTGATTTTTTTTTAAATAATGGATTTCTTTTGTTAGTGATGGCAGCGCCAGTGTCATGACTGAGAAGAAATTCTGTGTATCAAATCACCTTTCTACATCAAACGATCATACTTCGGTATTGTTTAAATCACCGTTTAAAATTAACTGGGTTCGATGCAATAATAAAAGATGTTACAGACGTTAAACACTTTAAAACCTTAATTGACACAATATATGGTTTATATAGCCAGTCTAAGAAAAAGCAAAAGGCATTAGATCAAATAGTATCTGAAGCTGAAGAAAGGTACTTGATGTACGATAGATGTATAGCAGCCTTTGGAATAACTATAAGACCTTATACGCATTTCAAAAATTTAGCGAATTCTAGCAACAGTGCAAAATTTAACAACCTGTTCACCTGTTTAGAAAGATGTGAATTCTTTTCAGATCTTACCTTGATGTATGATGTTCTATTTAAATTATTAAATCTATCTTTAAGACTTCAAACAAGAACAATCAGTTTTCCTAGTCTGAAAAATTAATAAAGTGAACGATTCGTATTCTAAGATCGTGTCTATCAGGTTCTAATTCTCGTTTATAATTTATAAATTAATGTTTATTTATAAGGTTAACCATCATATTGAAAACAATATAAATTTATTTTTTAAAATAGCTCTCCTGTAAATTACAAAAAAATGGGAATAGAATAATCTCTCAGGCGATGATCCCTAAAGGAGAACATATGAAAATATCTCGAGAAGCTAAAGGAAACAAGGCGGATATTAGCGAAAATAAATTTATTTCTGCCTTAATACCCAATGTTCAATAAGCTAATAGATTCCAATTCTGATATTTTTAGTAATTAAAGATACTATATTAAATTATACCGTTTTTAGTAGTGTTGTTAAACGGCTCGTTTTGAGCCGATTATTAAAAACGGCTAACTTAATATTACATTCAGAAAAATATTGCGCAAGCCTGAAGATTTTGCTCATAAAAGGAACAAAGGTTTAGACATATATACCCGAAATCTCGAGGCCTAGGCAATATTTTCCTGGCTAAAATATTGAGTTAGCCGTTTTGAAGAATCGGCTCAAAACGAGCCGATTAACAACACTAGTTTTTAGCTATCTTATCTGATATGGAATATTTAGAAAAAGATAACTGGCTGACAGACCCTCACTTTTGTTAAAGGGAAGAGTAAATTAAACAAATTTATATCACTGAAGCGCGGTGTGGATTTCGCAATAAATGGAATGAGGAAATATATTGATGATAGATTTTGAAGAGTTTAATAATTGTATTAAAAATTTGTGTAGTCTTACTGAATGTGGTTACGGCCTTTACCATATAAATGTCATTTTGACGGATTTGTTTGCAAGTCTTATGGTAAAACATATTTCTAATTATAGATGATAAACATTAACGGGTCTCCTCTCAGAAATCTTCTACGATAATCAATCAAGGAAACGCGAGGTTAATATTATTTAAAATATTGAAAAGATTTTCTATGGCCAATATGTTTTTTCCATCTTATTTTAATCCATTCCGATTTAGGCATTATATAATTATGAAATTCATTCTAAAAAAATACCTCATTTTTTACTCAAAATATATATTTTTTGTAATATATTTCAATTTTTATATAACTTTATAAATAGCCATTTGATATAATATAAATATAATGTATTTTATATGAAATGCTTCGATATAAACTATTAAAAAAAATAAATAAAAAATTTTAAATTCTTGGGGGGGGGAATACTTGCCTTTATTTTTTGCCTATTTTAGCGTGCCTATTTTTTAGAGTAATAGCGTGCCCAACGCCACAAATTTTAGACCACAACACTGATTACGACAAGGTATGAAGGAGACGATCACTTTTATAATAAATTTGTTAGTCAAGGACATTATTATCGTCTATATTATGGATCTTCCATTTTTAATTATTTTCGAGGGATAAGTAAAAAAAGTTTCATTTAATCTTCGAGGGATAAGTAAAATAAGTTTAATTTTATATTATTCCTCATTTAATAATAATAGAAATGAAATGCTTAAAGACATTAACTCGAACCCCCCCCCCCCTCCTCCCCCACCGTCAGCTTAATTTCTGAAAAGATATCCGTTGTAAATTTGTCATACGCGCCCATGCAATATTTTCTAAATCACACTTAATTATTATTTTTTAAAGATAAACATATTTCGATCAACTGAATGGTATATACACTTCTTAGAAATAAATACATTTTTCTTTGTATTTATTTTAATTAGTACATATTAAGTACTTAAATAATTAACCTTTCATTAATATTAGGTATTAACTTTATTTTGTTTCAACGTTAAAAATAAAATAAGAAATATGCCTAATGACTTCTGATCAAAAGAGGCAGGCCACTATACAAGCCGCAACGTATTGCCACCTCTTCTCGCTTTCGCGAAAACATTTCGACCAGGTACTAGAGTTTTACCCCATGATGAGGAAAACTATGGAAAGCATCGCGGCCGAACGACTCACCAAAATAGGTAGAGACCCTAGTATAGTCAGCCCTAAAGAAGATCTTTCCAGTTACATGGAAACTGTTCAAGAAGTTTTGAAAGCCAAAGAAAAAGAAGTTTTGATGCTGCAAAGAAAGCAGCAAGAAAGTAAATCTTGCAAATCTATGTTCGCTCACACCTTGACAGACCCTTTCATATACACAGCTATAGGGGGTAACCATACCATGGATGATGAAATATACGATGTAACTAATAGTATGAATGACAACAGGATGGTTCAACCTATAAGCAGAAGCCATAGTTATTCAAATTATTCCAACTATATAAGTTCTCATTTCAAAAAGCGACGAAGTAAAGATGAAAACTCCGATATTTTGACACCCATATCCACAACACACGAGAAAGATAAAACTTTGACCCTCGAAGACAACATACAACATAACAATTTTCCTGGATATACTGATGATAATACAGATCATGTAATCAATGACACATCTAAAAAATGCTCTCCAAGCTCTATACCATGGTCGTCTGGATTGAATAATCTATTAAATGTGGCCCAAGCCTTATCGAGTAAACGAAAATCAATTTCTAGCATACAACCTCAACAATCAACAATTAAGGAAATCCCAGATAGCGATGAAAAACTTTCTAGTCATTACGGAATTATGGATCAAGGCAAAGATTCTCTAGAAAAATTATCTATGAATAATTTAAAATCGGATTGTGGTATTGAAATAACTTTTACACCTCCTAGTCAAGAAGATCTTGAAAAAATTAACAAAACCAATATTTTAAATAATAGTTTCGTAACAAATTTGTAATTACATTCGCTATTAGTTAAATTAAAAAAAAATATATATAATAATATATAATTATAATATCTATATAATAATAAAAATGCACTAATGTATGTTCGATAATTAAGATAATTAATTTCTAGACATTAAATGAAAATGAGTTTTTAATAGACAAAAATATTTAATTTATTTACTAAATTAAAAAATCACCCGTCAAAGAATAATAGGTGAATCAGAAAATTGCCTTGATTTGATAAAATAACTTAGTAAAATCTCTAATCAAATCATGATGGGTGATTCATAATCTCAATCTGATAAAATATTTTTGTGACATATATATTGAGTACTTTGAACTAGTATATAGGCGAGTTGCATCATAAAATTGGTCAAAATAAACAAAACTACTTAATTTGATTTCATAATCATACTAAATTTATAACGGTATTATCAATGTTGTGGAGATATATTTTAATGCCTTTAATTAAATTTTTTCTTTACCGGCGCAAGATAGCAAGCATTTTGCTCTATTACGACAGAATTTAAAAATAATACATCATAGAATAGCCTCATCAATGTATTAAAAAAATCCTGAAAATTCATGGAATTTATATATTTTAGTTTGAGCTCTATTCAGTGGCTACCATAACGAGCTACTTTCAGTAGAGGGCTTTAGCTCGATGCTTTAAAAAAAATCACCCGCTATACTAATTGACGAAGTAGTTCACTACTTCGCAACTTTCAATTTTATATAATAAAATAACGTCTAAAAATTATTAAAATATATTTATAATTAATTTTAAACAAATCATTTTATTTGATTTAATTTCGAAATTTTAATTTATTTTAAAAATCTGCATTATAAATCTAGGTTTCAAAATAATTTAAAATGTTGAAGAAAAAGATTGATATTGAAGATAATTTTGATACAGATCATATTGACAATAATTTCCTTGAATAATGTACAGAATCACTATTTTCCTTTTCCTGAATTCGCGAAATATTTTAATCTCGATAAAAGAATTAACACAAGGTATAAATTTTTTGTAAGATCTGCCGGAAGGTTTTATTTAAACAAGATTGGTAACTTCAACGAGGACTTTAATCTTTAAAATAAATCAAGCTGCATCTATAATAGTTTTTGAACTAGATGAGTTTATGTGAAAGTTGATTTTCTTGCCCTGGCCATAAGATATTATTCAAGAGAATTATATCGTAAATTAAAATTTTCAATAAATAATTATTATTAAAATCTCATTTTATTATCAGACTCATCAATTTAATGATAATATTTTATAAATTATTATCTGGATGTTAAATGTGCTTAAAATTAACTACTCATCTATTTATATATTTATAAATTTTATCAAAACATTCTCTAAATACTTATTTCAATCTTTTCACATTTTAACCAATTTTTAGGGAAATTGATTCGATAGATAAAAAGTTAAAGGGTGGTGACCTGGCCAGTCAACAAACATGGTTCTATGCCACTTAGCCCCTATATAATTTTTATTCTAACTATTACTGTTATAATTTTAGACTGACCATAGCCAGATCAAAAACGCCATCTATAAACGATTTTTTTGAAATAAATAATAATACTATTGAAAATCCTCTAGATTATTTTAAATCTAAAAATACTTAAATAAATATTTTTGATAATTTTTTTTATAAAAAATATGTATATTTAAATTTAATACTGCATTACGCTCAGGTGCTAGTGTTGAACAATTATTTAGTTATAGTTTATACTTTCTGACGTCGCTCTAAAGAAAGAATACAGGTCAAAATAAAATATCTGGATAGCTTATATATAATAATTTAAATTTTAAATAGAAAAATCAATTTTTCTAATTTAAGGTCGAAAACACATTTTTTACCATAAAAACATTTTATTTTTCATAAAATAAACTCTAAATTTTAACAATAAAATAAATATTCAACAAAATTTGATGTATAAATAATAAATTGCAATAGAAAATTAAATTAAATTTTTTATGTAAAAATCATGTTTCTATTAGTAAATTCCTTATCTTTAAGTTAGGTCGAAAACGAGTTTTTTTAACATAAAAAAATTAATATTTTGCATAAAATTTTATAAAATAAATGTAGTCAGTTCCGTTTATATTTTCTATTATTTTTTATAAATTCAAATCCTTTGATAATTTTTATTAATCCCCTTTATAGATAACCCTTATTATAAAGTTACGAGAAAATTTTCATAAATTCGGAATCATTACAATAACCCAAATTAATTCTATAATAATAAGTTAGTTCTTGGATTCTTTTTGCAATAATATTATCAACAAGATCTAGGTTGCCCTCTGTTTCTTCTACAGTCAATAAATTACCATCTCCGCCGATCACTTCAACTTTTTTCGTTAATAAGTAGGCAATTATCAGCTTTTCAATTTAAAAAATATTCATCTATAAATTATAATTATATATTAAAAGTTAAAAAGAAAAAAGCCATCCTAACATGATATTCTTATTTAATCAGAAAATTAATTAATAACTGACAAACCTTGTTTATAGAAGGAATTTGAGTACTGTTTCTGTAATGCTCGAGAAGTTTATTTTCATAGATAGATTTAGTATCTGATGTTACCTGATAATAAAAATTCAAATTTACTGTATAGAAGTTGAAAAAAATATTTAATGTTAATCTCAGAATCGATTTTTAGTTTTACTACCTTTTTGTCATCTCTGGATAATTTTCTCAATTTTTCACCATGCTGATAGGCCACAATGTAGATTGGCGTAATAACTTTTCTCAACCCCCCTAATCAAAAACCCCTACCTCCTTGCATTCCTAATGACGTTATTGTATCATAACCTCTCCTCCCTCCCCCACCCTTATAGGGCAATTGTAAACTAAGTTTAAATTGTAAGTAGTAAAATAATAATTTTTTTTAAATATTAGACCCCATTTTATGGTGTATTATTTTTAAAATAATCCCCATTTTTTTTTAAAACCGGCTTGGACCTCTAAATCTCAAGGTCGTCTTTTTGCGCGGGATCACTGTTGCATATCTCTAACGAATATAGCATAAATAAAAAATAGTTTATCCCTTAAAAATTAAAAAATTTAATCAAAAGGTATACCCAATCTTAGTTTAAAAATAACCTAGAAATTTATTCGACTGATTCAACGTTAAATATAATTTGTTGCAACAAAAAGGATATACTTCTATAGTAATTTCAAGGGCGGAATTTTTGAATCTAGATTGTAACTTGCTTCTCACATTATTCAGAAGATGTGGTTGTCTCAGGAGTTGTCTACTGGTCATTATTTTTGCCCATAATTGAGTATTATATGTGTAAAATTGGATCATTGATTTATTTCTATATTTTTTTCGTTTTAATATCTATTTTTTAGTTTCGAAATTATCATATTAACTAGAACTTAAAATGTTTTGTTCGTTTTTACGATAAATTATGAAAATCAATTATATTTTACAAATTCCAAGAAAGGACTAATTCTTCATACCCCGTGGTATTTCCTGCTTTAATCAAATTGCACATTTCCCGAGTACCTATGTTATTTTAATATTTTGATGATTTATTTCAAGAAATAAAAATAGGCTAGAAATTAAGGAAGTATTTTTAAAAAAATTGAATCACATCCATCATTTAATAATTTGCTACAGAACATTTTCATATATTAGTAATAATTTACTTAACAAAATTGTTTAACTTGCTGTAATTAAGGTAAAAATCAGGGCTGTGAACCCTCCTTCTAAAAAAAGGGTGCAAGTTTGGATTGGCCTAGGTTCAGGGTTCCTGGTCCAGAAATAATTACAATTATAAATTTAGCAAAAATAACAGAAATCTCAGTTTTATATATATATAATTTTATTAAAATTAAAAAATATATTTTTAACGCCTAACTTTGACTGCATTTGCAACTTGCATAATAAAGCTATTTTACCAATGTTCTTTTCTTAGGTACCTTTAACTTAATAATTCAACAAACAAAAATATATATTCCTAAAATATATATTATATTATATAGTATCTATTATTAAAATAAAGTTATAAAATACTGGTAAAATTTTAAAATTTTTACATAAAATGGAGTGCTCTAAAATATAATAAAAAAAGGATTCCTCGCAAAATAATTTACACTAAAAATGCTTTTTTTTAAGATTAAGAAAACTATTTTATTAAATTTAAATGAAGAATTACATTGTGTTGCTATTATCTATAATTTCAACTTTATAGAATATAAAATAAAATGAAATAAGTTAGTAAAAATCGCATCATTCGAATATTATAATTATTATAAATTTTTTTGAATAAATCCTATTCAATTTATTTTTAAAAACATTAATTGACATTCATTCACTAGAGAATATTAAAATTATAATTATCATACTCATTATAATTACGAAAATAATGGAAATCAATTGTTAAAAATAAATAAAAATTATTACTATAAAAGAAATATATCAAAAAATAAAAAAATTATCTTATGTTTTAAATAATTTGCATGTTTTTTTATATTTAATTTTAATATAGTTTTCTATATATGTTATTTTTAATATATTATTTTTAAATAAATAAATATTTAATTAAAAAAAAGTCAACCCTGAATCTAAATTAAAAAAAAGGGTTCGGGTTTTGGTTCAGTAAAATATTGACATAGCCCTGGTGAAAATAACATTTAGATAAAATTATTTTAAAAAATTCACAGCAAATTAAATAATTTTTTAGAAAGTTGTTACAAATATATGGAAATTTTTTATATAGTATTATATTATTCTGTATTTATTATATTTCATATAAATATGAAAAAAAAATTGACAATAGATAATCAGCACTTTAATTTTTAAGAGTTTTTTTTGAAAATTTAATCCTTTTAACATGATTAAGTCATCGCTTATATGTTATTAGATAATTATGGAGACAAAATTATTATTGTTCTTCTATCTACTTTTTTTTGAAACAATTTAAGAATTACCTTCTCCAACCCCCCCCCCCCCCCTCCCTTTTCCTTGTGCTTCAAGAAAAAATTATATTTTAATTAGTTATATTTTTGCCATATCTAGATGGACCCAAAACCGTCTTATATAAATTTAATTTAGATGTTGCAATTCACACCTATTATCGTTTTAAAAAAATTGACATACTTTCATTTCGCATTGCATACTCTTTCGAATAGAATCAGTAGAAAGGAAATCATGAAATTAAATGTTAATGGCATCTTTTAATATTTTATTTATTACTATTATTAGGAATAAATTATGAAAGTAATTTCTATATAAATATTAAAAAATTTTTTTATCTTAAATCGAAGTTATTTTTATAAGAAAGGTAGCCAAATAATTAAAATAGAAATTTGATAGGAAAAATTTTTTAGAAGCCTTTACAAAACTAAAAATAAGCAAAGTTAAATATTTATCATTTTTAAAAAGTCAAAGTTATCTCTTAAAATATTTTTAAAAAATTAAAACTCCATTCTGATAAAATTAGCAAATATCATTATGGCAATTAATAAACAAATAAACATTTGAAAAATTTTAAAGGAGGATTTTTTTTGGGATTTTTACACATGGCTGAATTGTTGCTTGGATATTTAAAAAAAAATCACACATTGGCCAAACTTCTAAACATCTTGTATTAGAAAGAAACAGGAAATATAACATTAATTATTTTGTTATTTTTATTAAAATGAAAAAAAAAATTTCTCAACGTTTGGCAATAAGTTATATATATATGGATTGTTTATCTTAACCACCTGACATTATCATATTGACAACTAGTCATGCTATTACCCATTGGAAGGATATAGAATTTAGTGATAATCTTCCTGATGCAACAGGAGAAATTGAAATACAATTTGCGATATGATTAGAATATAATAAATAGTAATAAAAACTAGAAGATTACATCTTTTTTTCTCAACGCAAAAATGTTATCTTTTATTATTTCGTCAGAAGTTCTGCATAATTGTTCGACTATTTTTCTTGATGAAATCTCTAATTTTTTTTATAGTTGACTAACTGAAAATTTATACAAATTTATTTAATAGAATTTCTGATTATATATTCCAAAGCCAAAAGGATTTATGAGAATGTGAATGTTTAGTATGTATCGCTATCTTACATAAAAACGAATATTCTGATTAAATAATCTAGATTTATCCATACCTCAAAAACCGCCTTAAACAAAATTTAGAACATAGAGAAAAGTTATTTTAGTTTTGATTTGCTGATGCCATATGAAGCCAAAGAAGATTTGCGACAGAGAAAATAGTATACTTATGCTTAAAAATAGTGAAGATCACGAGTTAAGTTCTATTTGGAATCGATTTATAATGAGCGAACCATGGAACCGATTCCAAAACCAAACGGATCGTGAACATACAAAAACCAAACTAAGTCGTGGTCCAAACCGACAGATTTTTTATGTGTTTGAATACATATATACTAGTATTTTTAAACAGCCCGTTTTGAGCCTATCATTAAAAACAGTTAACTCAATATTTTAAACAGTAAAATATTACGCAAGCCTGAAGATTTTTCTCATAGATGGCACAAAGGTTTGGACACCTATTAGCGAAATCTTGAGGCTTAGGAAATATTTTTCTGCCCAAAATATTGAGTTCGCCGTTTTTATAAATCAACTCAAATCGAGCAGTTATATACTATAAAACAAAATATCATTTGATAGAATTAAAAAACTTGACTAATTTATAAGGAATGGAATAATAAAATATGATAAATATTTTATTTTTTTATAGAATATGTTATATATTAGAAAATAATATCGATAGAACAATTTCAAATTTTCTCCAAAAGACATATTTTTGGGCCATGAACCAATTCACATGATTACCATTTACTTTATAATCTATTTCACTTCTTAGTTATTAAGTTACTTACTCTAAAAAATAATTGTTCACAAGGAACTGAAGTTGTTTGTATTTTTTACTCACTTTTAACCAGGAACTCGAACCGTTATTTATAACCGTTCAGTTTGGTTACGGTTCAGTATGTAAAAAATTATAATGGTTACGTTCTGGTTACGGTTCCTAAGAATAAATTTATAAGGGTTCGGTTCAGCTAATTTTTATAAAGGTTCATTCCGGTTAGAATTTTTTTTTTATTGAAGCAACACTATCATATAATGATTTTAATTATAAATATATTAAAAATTTTGCCATCACTAATTTATTTTTTATTATAAACATATATAAATTATATATAAAAAATATATATGATTCAAAATAACTCATTTTTAAATATATTATTTGAACGTATAAGTAATATATTTTCTAATACAACTGGATTTATATTTGTTCGTCGAGGCGATAACACAAATTTTAGCTCCGAAAAGGCCCTTTCTACAGAAACTTGGGATGCTGGAACTGCCAGTGCTATAAGAACAAGTTTATACAATTTTGGATATTCAAATTTTTTCGATTCCCAAAATATAAAAACTGATGATTTTTTGTCAATCCTTTCAACACCTTCAAACGATTCAATAATTATTCTAATATTATGTTCTTTGTGTGCATTTGAAGTAGCTTTTTTAAATTCCGACTCACGGGCTATCAGAAGCTTTTCTAATTCATCATCTGTTTTATGATCTTTGGAGCTAGAGGTAGATTGCAATATATACATTTCTAGGCTAACATCATTTTCCAAGGCCTATATATTTTAAATGAAAAATAACTTTTAAAATAAATACGGACAATAATCAAAATAAGGCTAAATAAAATATGTGGACCTGAATTGCTCCATGTTTTATTTAAATGATCTTTGCATGTACAGTAATAAGTTCTGTGCAGGAATTTACTAATGTGTTTTTATCCATTTTAATTTTGATAAGAGAATTTAATGCCTGCTCAATAGAAATATTATGGCTAGGTTTTGATATTGATTTCAAAGGCTGGAAAGCTTTAATTTTTTTGTAGTTAGGAATTCATATTCTTTAGAATGATGCCTTTGAATATGCCTTTCTAAATTAGCTGCATGGTCACCTTTAATTATCATTATGCAATTATCTATTATACAGGTTGATTCATTTAAGAGAATATTATAACTAAAAATGAACGGACTGGGTTAATTTTGGGACGGACATTATTTCTAAAAGCAAATAAAGTAAATTTTTATTAATTATTAACAACAAATATTGTAAAATTGAAATTGATAATACTGCCAAGTTGTAAAGCCAAATTATATGGATATTATTACTTAAAAATTCACTATTCCTCTAAGAAAACTAATGCTTTAAAATATACTCAAATGCCAAAATTTTATAAATAATATATAAAATTAAAACATTATAAGTAATTTTGAAATTTAAATAATAGCCTACTATCATATTCAAGGGTGGGTGGTGATATTATAATTAATTAAATAAATGCAACTAAATAAAATCGGCTATTTTGATATTTTGCATACTAAAACATAAAAAATAGGAATATGGTTCTATTACTATAAGAAATAAATACAAAAAATGAGGTCAGACAAATATAATATATTAAAATTATTTGATAAACTAAATAGAATTTATAATGTAACACAAATTTATTATTTATAATAAAGGCCTGATATTATACTTAAATTAATTTAATAAATACAACTAAATCAAAAATCTACAAATTGTTTATTTAGATATTTTGCATAATTAAAGGATTGTGGATAAATTTAAGTAATAGTTAAAAAATTAATACATACTTTATTAAGGGTATAAGGATATCAGATTACACATATATTTTGATCATTTAATAATTAAAATTATAAATAACGAGGGAAATACGGTTAAATATATAATTACACCACAAGGAAAATAATGTAAAAAATTAGAATTATAAATTTTATTTTAACCGGTTTAACGTTTTTTTATGAAGGTTCTTTTCACTCTTTTAAAAAATAATTATATCGGTTCGGTTACGGTTAAGGTTCAGATATTTATTAGGGTTTATAACGGTTTCGCGGTTCGTTACGGTTCGCTCCGGGTCCCTGCTTTTAACAATATACAAGTTAATTTACAGGCAAAGAATAATTAGTAACAAAACATAAACTATTTAGTACCATTAGTATATATGCTCTATTGTAGAATATGATGTATATAAATCATGATATTCATTTAATTTAATATATTTGTTTATGCACTAACTTTAAAAAATATTCTCTTTGGCAGGTTAGATTCTGAAATGATTTAACTATTTGGATTTAATTTAACATTTAAATATTTTATCATTGGTTAACAAAGAGTATATACACATAAACAATAAAAACCTAGGAAATAGTTTTGTGTACGAATAAAAAATGAATAAATTCTGGCACTTTTTGAATTGTTTATATTTATTTGCTAATAATAAAAAGATAGTAAATAATTTCTAAGGGTCCAAACCAAACCGAACTAAGATCCAATTGTGAAATAGAATCGAACCATGAAACCGATTTTAAAATACGGCGTGATTCGGTCAAAAGAACCCGGACCGTTTTATTAGCAGAAAATAATTTTAGTGATCACCTTTTATCCAAGTTGATGACTGGAAATGAAAAAGATACGAAAGTTTCTACACTCAATCCAAATTCTTTGAACTTGTCAAATTCCTTTTCATATTTAATGCTTTTTTTAATTCGCGTTATAATTTTATACCTTTAAAGTTATTAGTTAAAAAAATCTTGTAATTGAAATAACATTATAAATTGTTTTATGATTTTGATTTGCAATGGTCAAAATACCATAAATGGCACAGATGTTAACTTAAAAATCTCTTAAGATATCGGGCTAATAAAATCAAATTTTTTTATAAAGCAGCCACCATAATGGCCTAATAAAAATATTTTATAAAACGTTATTATAACATTTAGAATTTAATTTATATTTCTTAATCCGAACATGAACCAGTTTTTGCTAAACTCCTTAAACTAACTGGGTTTAAAATTTTTATCTTTAAGAAAGTCCAAAGTGGAGACCGGTATGGGTTCGCACTGGTCGGTGAAAATTTTTGAAAAGGTTCTTGGCCTTGCTAGCAAAATAATTTTGTACTAATTGTCTATTCCAGCTCGTAATAATTTTTTTATAAGAGAAAAGACATAAATTGCCTAATTATAAGTCTTATAAAAAATTGCACAATTTAGAGCCCAAAAAATATTTTGCACAAATTACTCTGTCTGGGCTAGGCTTCGGTAGGCCCACCCCTAGTCCGATGTCCTAATTTACAATTATTTCTCCGACTAATAAGTGGCTATTTTTATATAGTGCTAGATTTATAAAAATAAGAATCGAAGTTCCTTGTTAGTTTTCATACGAGTAATATACTCAAAATCTCTGTATTTTATAAAAATTAGTTAAAATGAGTTATTAAAAAATTCTTAAAATCATTTAAATTAATTTTGAGATTTTATGTATTTTAATTTATGATGGCATGCCAATTAAAAATATATTTAAACTTGATATAATTGTTATATTCTAATAAATTAATGGTCATTAGATTATATTTATAAGTTATATTTTATTTTGTTGATTCACCTTATCCAGTAGCGTACGCAGGAATTTGGTGTGGGGGGGGGGGATAATTAAAATTTTTTAAAATAAAATTATTGTTATTTAAAAATATCAAGCATAAATTAATTAGGACTAATAACTATTTCTAATATACAAATTTAAATTAATATAAAATTAAATATATAAACCGATATATAAAAATAAATTTGATTTAAAAAATATTAAACGAATATAACCGGCGGCATATAAATACTTTAAATAAATTTGAATTATAAAATATTAAGTGGAAATAACCAGGATATGATGACTATAAAATAAATAATCCATAATAGAAATTTAAATTTTTTTGAGCTTTTAAAATTTATATATAAAGTATAAAAAATCTAAATGTTGGAAATATGAATAATTATATTTTTTATGTAAAAGAAAAATATATAAGACATTAAAAAATGATAGCACAAAAAATATTATAGAAACATTATATTTTTATAATGTAAAATCCAATCTTCGTTGGGAGGGAGCTAATTTTTCAATTATCTCATCCGTGTTTGGCGTCAAATGCCTATGAATATTCAAAAGGGCCAGACCATTCAACCTACTTTCAGAAGTTGTACTTCTTAGGTACGTTTTTAATCTTCTTAAAGAAGAGAATGTTCTCTCATTAGTTGCAGTACTAATGGGAAGAGTTGCTAATATATATAATAATTTCAATATATTGGGAAAATAATCTAAAAGATGTTTGAAATGATGCAAAGCATCATAGCATTTTTTAGGACTATATCAACCATAGTTAATCTTTTATACCATAGTTGGCATTCAGCTAATAAAGCATCATGAGATACATTAATGTCTTCATGATAAAAATCTTCCAAATATTTTATTTTTTTTCTATCACCATCTGAAAAAGGTTCAGAGGGCTTTTGCGGAAGTAATATCTGCAGATTGATAAGTGTTTCTTGATAAATTAAAAACCTTTCATTTACTTGGGTTATAAATGTATCCAAAAGAGGTATAAAGACATTTATTTTATAATAATCTTCTATTGACCCTATATTAATATTTGGACGATAAGTTTGCCTTTCTGTAAGTCGAGGGAGACAAATATTGAACTCGTATAGCTCTGCTTTTGATTCAACATTAACATATAAAATATGAAATTCCTCATCAGCACAAGCTCTAATTTCTTTGAGTTCTAATAAAATTGTCTCTGCTATTCTCATCATTTCAATCAAATCAATATCAGGTTTTTGAAAAGTATTACATAAAATAGTTGTATAATTAAATAATTTATTATTACATTCTAATGCGAAAAAAAAATTTGGTACAAGTATTGAATCCAGTAACTTGCTTGCTTCTGAAGAAATATCTTTTTCAGACATTGTGATATTTCTATAAGAGCATTAATAATCGGCTCTTCTAACTCGATAAAAGCTGTTACTGCTTGATGTCGAAGACTCCATCTTGTTGGACAAGCTTTTTTATCTTGATTCTATCTCATTTATTTTATTGTAATTTTGGTACGCTATCTCCGGCTGTACCCTATTATTTTTTCCACAAAAATAACTAGTTCCCGGAACTTCATCTGTTTCACTAAGATGATTCTTGTGTTCCTGATTTTGTAGCACATGAGTCGGAATATTGCAGTCCTTTATTTGATGTCCAAAACTTTGACAGCGACAGCATTTTTTGAATACATCAGATTTCGGTTTTTTTTTCCCAATTTTTTTATTATTATTATTCTAACATAGATTATTTGTTCGTGCGTCTCAATTTTGTAACTCATCACAAGTTATGGATATTTCTTTTTATTTTAAATACTCAAATTTATTTTATTTTAATATAATTAATTAATTTTCTCTTTTAAAATAAAATTAATACTTATTAATTATTTATTTTCTTTTAAAAATTTTATTTTAAATACATAATTCCCTTGAACCTTTTCAAATTCAATTTATTTGGAATATGAATCCACAACCAAAAAATATGATTTTTTATCCAATTCAAAAAAATCAATGTGGAGACGATCCCATGGTTTCTTTGATTTGGGCCACACTTGCTTGTCCCATCTCTTTACGGGGCATAACGGCACAAGTATTACATGGAACACATTCCTTTGTAATTTTTTCTATATCATTACCCATCCCAGGCCACCATACATATTCACGAGCCCAAGATTTCATTTTAACTTGACCCTGGTGTCCTGCATGTAACAAATTAATTATTTTAGCACGTAATTTCAAAGGAATTACTGTCCTATTTCCTCTCATTAAACAATCATCTACCGCGGATAATTCTTTTTCGAATTTTTGATAAATTTT